GAGTCAAGGCGTGCGCGACATCCCCTCGCATGAAAATCTAATCGCGAATCCGGCGGAAACTCCCGGCTCTTGCTACAAATCCTTCCGGGAGTTGACGTCGACGGTCCATGAAAATTACGAGCGTGAAGATGCTCGCAAGCACGGAAAGAACAATCGTGAACGTCGGTCCCGGTATATCAAAGGTATCTCAAGCTAGTTTTATACCTTTTGTAAGGTGTGTCACCCTGCGCTCTGCAAATATGCGCTTCAAAATTTTATCGCGCCATAAATCTTGCGAGCAATTATTGTTTCGTATTTCGGAGACACGTTTGGGCCAAACGAATCTTTCAAAAAAAGTATTTGATATTTTTGCAGAAGACAATTTTTGACCGGATACTGTAATCCGGATTAACGATATAATATTCTGATTATTTATGTGGTACGGTAGCCTAATGAGCCGATAAATCGCGAGGTGAGAGACGATATTTGGATGTATGATTCAGCGAAAGCTTTGTTTTCATCGCGAACACCCAAAATTGTTTTCGTACGGTGAACTCAACCGCAACCTTGCCACGCTCAATGACATACGAAAGCTTAATCGATCCGACATGCTTTCGTTAGTCAGAATTTACAATTAGCCAGGATCCATCATCGATCTTCGCGGATTTAAATCGCGTCGGCCGATTAGATACAGATATAGCAATTCGGGAAAGCCTTCATTACCGCCAGCGCATTAGTATATCATTGCTATTGTTGTTTGTCAGTTTGAGATGCATTGCATCATGATGTCGAAATCGTTCTACATTATATAGATTGTCAATTGCGCACAGAATTTCTTAATCGTAGGCTTATAAAAGCAAAGATTAAAAATATTATATATTTTTTTATATCAATATGTGTACAGATGCACATGTAAAATATACTAAAATATTAGATATCGAAGAAATATATATATGCATATTATAAAAATCAGAATCGTTCTCTAAAAATATTGGAAACTAATATAATTAATAATAAAGTGAACGATAAATATTATGAAAAAGGTATTCCGAGATCTGCGATGACTCGTCCGATTGAATCGGCCCGATATTTGCGTCGGGATTCTTCCTCTGGATCCGGATTAATCGGTTTAAATTGAACCAATTTCTGCCAATTACGTTCTAGTTTCCAGATAGCGCATGCTTACGGTGAAATGATCGTTCGTCTACCCGCAGGGGTCCATCTGCGTTTCACCGTGTGGAAGCCCGATCATGCCCACATACGTGTTCGCGCACACGCGTGATAATTATACGCTCTCTCCATCTCTCTCTCTTCCCCTTTACGTATATATTTTATATACACGTATCGTTCCTCCACTGTGACGATAATCATCACCCACATATCCCCAATTGGTAAAGACAATCGCTAATATGTTTCTCTCCTTGATTGAGAGTATGAGTCATGCTGTAGCGGCGTCTCGCGTCCGTTCCGACCACGAGAATAAAAGGGAGAGGCAGAAGATGACAGAGACACCCGCGGTCTCTTCTTTCGCATTTACCACCGGCGAAACAATTTGTTCGACGGGACAATCAAGTATTAAATTCGTGGCGCCAGCCGGCCGCCCGCTGTATATCCGGCGTTGCTCAACTAGTTTGCCAAGGTAATACATGTGGTCGTTCATCGCGATAATATTCGTATTGACGTTCGATTAATAGATCAATGATGTCACATTTCATCGGAATACTAGGAATTCTTTTTATACGCTCAACGGGTTATGATTAACCGTAAAAAAAAGAATTTTATTTCAATTTTTTAGCTGAAGATAGAAAATTGCTTGACGCAAGGGTGAAGTTTATATGTATAATGTAGTTTTTAAATAATATCATAGTTTTTTATACACATGCATATTTCTTGTTCTAATAATATATTATAAACCGATTTAATATTTGTCATATGACTGAATATATATTTGTATGGATAACGGATATATAGCTATCTTTTCTTTCTTTTCTAAATCACGTTCGGTTATATTTGTGTAAACAGATTAGAATGCTCGTCGGCAATAATAAAACTGTTAGATAAGAAAAACGATAAAATTTCTTTCTTTTTTTTTAATATCACGTAAAAATCAACAATATGTAGGGCTTATATATAATCGCATTTTTATCAGTCTTAAATACTTTTTCGTTTCTAATATTAAAAATATTGCCTGATTAACAATTTTCACATTTTGTATGTTTAAAAAATGCTAAAATTTTTTAAATATTAACCCTTATCTAAATAAAAGAACTCTTTAAAACAAATAATTATATTCAACGAGCAAATGTATACATATAAACAAAATAAAAATTAATCGCTTAATTTTCAGTTACATGCGACGAAATTTCAATTTGCTCCGATTTCACATAAATAGACCCTTGCGTAATCGATTTCATCGTCATGACCTCGTAATTTCGCCTTCACGCTCTTATTCTTTCGCGTTTTCTCCTTCGGCCGTCGTTTTTTTTTTTCCTCTATTTTTTTCGGCAGGCCAACGTCGGGGATGCCGCGCAGCTTTTCGCACGCTCGCATCTCTGCCGGGATACGTTCCCGCATTCGCGGTATGAGAGTAAGCAATTTTCTCCCGAAGATAGAGCGGCCCTGGGACGTCGCCGGTGCTCCAGGGAGAGCGTACAACGATGCGAGCGTGCGAGTGAGTGAGTATGATTGATGCGGTTTGTCGGTCTCGCCTGACATCCAACATCTCGTCTCGCGTCACGCTCGCGGATACTTACGCCCCCGACGACGACGACGACGACGACGACGACACTCTCAGTGTCACACGCGGCTACATCTCGCGTATTCGGCCGCATGACTGAGCTACAACCTCGATTTTCCAGCGTACGCGCGAAGAATGATCTGCCGGAGAAATGCGGTGTATCATTTTCTCCGAAAATAAAATTTAGTCTCTCTTTTTTTTTTAGTTACACATTACATCCCCATCTCGATCTTTATATAAATGATACATATATGGAATTATAATTATTTCATATAAAAGTAATTATTAAAAACAGGAAAAATAGAAGTTATATATTAAGTGGAAGGGGGCTATCTATCAATTATATAAAAATATCTCAAATACATAACGTTATCAAAATTATACGTCATTTTTGCTGCAAATTTTATAATTTTATAATGGAATTAAAATTCAAGGAGGACGAGATATCTATTTCGTGCAATCTAAGTGTTACAGCTTAAGCGAATGCACTTCTATGTTAGATGCTACATTTTCATGAAATTGATTATAAAAGGTGTCTACGAGTAGTTGTTACATTATTACGAGTAATTTTTAAGATAATTATATTATCGGTCTTGTTATTCTGAAACAAATATGTGACATTCTGTAGAAATTTCAGCTTCAACATGTCTGAATTCTGTTATGTCTGGCTTTCGCATCCGATTCATTTCATTGCAATGTCGCGTTAAAGCAAACAAGCATGTAGTACGATAATTAAATTGTGTCCATGAATCATATTAATTTATGGATACAAGAGTTGGGATGTTATATCGTAACCGTGCTACGACTCCTCGGGGAAAAGGTCTATGAACAATTATTTTAACTCTATTAATTCTAAAACTCAACTGCCAAAACTGCATATGCAGCTCTTTAAGATTTACGCTGAAAATTATTAAAATAATAAATATACGAAGAACACATAGCTTTATTATTTTAAAGTAAAATGTGTACAAAAATCCGACTCGATGATTTCACAATAATTATCATGATAGATAAGCGCATAAAAAATGAAAACGCATAATCTCGTCTCTTATCGAGCTACAAAATCGCAGGTAGAAAAAACGAAATAAATTAATCGATATGATTATTGGAAGATTTTTGATTCGTTTTATATATGCATTTAATATTAATGCGCGAAATATTAAACGTACAAAAAAGGTGATAGATGCAATAACACAGCGAATATTTCTGACAATAAAAGCCTATTGCACACAGAATCTTATCGGAATACTTAAAGTGTCGTTGCACCGAAAATTCGGAATTTTATCAGACGGAAGTCACGTTAGTTCAAATACACTGTCGCTGTTTCGGCAAACGATTAAACGTTAAAACTGTTTGACGCTTGATAAACTTTATTGCCGCTCGATATCGTGCCGGATTTATCCTTTCAAAGAGTATCATAAAAGATTTTTGACGTTCCTATATCAAGCACGTACGTTTACTTTTCTGTAAGTTATAATAAATTTGTATTTATAACAAAGAAAAAATTCTGTTGCAAAACATTTTAGTCAAAACCTTTAATATTTTCAAACTCGCGATACAAAAAACAAGTCATCAAATTACGAAAGATTATCTGAAATATGGCTTCCTCTCTCTCTCTCTCTCTCTCTCTATAGAAATGAACTACCATTACATGGCACATGTTTTAGATTTTATAAACTTCACATACAATTGATTCTTCGAAGTTCATTTATCGCCCTTGCTCTCAAACTCTTCGTTTTCCTCAAATCAATATCATCCAAGAATAGAATTCTCTGAAAGAGCGATAGACGTGATGTAGAAACTTTTCAACCGAGCCACGAAGATTTCATCTCCTTCGAAATCTCATCTCCCAAGAAATATATCGAAGATCAGCCTCTCGCGGTCATAAAAGCGCAAGCTCCTTCTCATCTCCGGTAGCCTAAATTTCCCAAGTTCGCTCTTTGCATCCGCAGCCTCCAGCTTTACGATGGATGTTGAAGGACGAGCGGTGTACGGCACGTACGTGCACGTACGTTCAAGTGTGCGAGGGCAGCGCGCAAATATCAATCAGTGGAGTCAAGAGTGGAATCAGGGTGGCCGAGTGGTTCCACATAATGCTGCAACCGGAGGTGAGAGAGCGTAGCGTGCAACGTGTATCTCTCGTGTTCGGTGGCCGTGCAATTCGGGTGAACACGCGCGCGAATCCAGTAGCGCACACATACAAGCGTGAAAAACCCCCCCATGAGCAACCCCTCGAGTAGCGACTCCCGGTAGCGTACGGTAGCGTCGCTACCCCACTCGCTTTCACGGATCGACCGTCTTCGGCGTGTTGGTTTGTGCGTTCACCACTACGCGGATACACGAGACGATTCTGGTGTGTGTGTGTGTGTGTATTTGCGTGTGAACGAGGGAGGAACTGAGAGGGCGTGTCCAGGGGCGGAGTCCGGGACCAAAATCTTGATGTGCATCAGACATTTGTATGTGGGTGTTCTCCCTCTCCATATGGACAAGGCTGATGTGTACGTCGTTCGTGTGGCTCTCTGCGTCTCTCTTCATCTTTATATCCACCGCTCTCTCGTAGCCGTCGTCGCATGGGAGTCTCTCCACTATCAGACCCGTTAACAGCAGTCGGCGTCGAGGCACCCGCTCTAACGGCTAACGTCTCTCACAACCCCGGGCTTCAGCCGGTGCTCCGCCGTTCTCGACCTGTCCTATCCGGCCGATGGACCGCACGGAAATCAGTGTCACTGACAACCGGAAGCTGCGTCTCCAGTGCCATACGTATTCACTGTCGCGAAGTCGGTAGGAGCTGTCCTACGAGGACCCATCTAGATGTTGATGACGGCTTCGAGTGTCCTGACTGTGCCCGCGAAAGACGAGACAAACTCTTCTAGTGCTTGTGCGTTATTAGGAAATTGATGATCCTTGGAAGAATGAAGTCCGCGAACAGATAGTTTTGAGAAAGAATTGTCATTCAACGCACTTGATTGCGCGTGTTGTTGTTTAAAAGGAAAATTTTCTTCTCTGAAAAGTCACCAAAGAAACTGTTCCGATATACAATCATCGTTCTTGAAAATACACATTATTCTTCTGAAGGACTTTTAGAGACAGATCCGTCTCGACGGCCTCGAAAGAACTTTTCTGTTAATTTTTGTTGAAGAGATTAAACAACATTGTACATGTTCGTTTATTGCTGAGAAAACTGAAGAATCATCAGCGTGGTGGAGGAGAATGCGAATGTCGTGTGCAGTGACGCGAAAGTTATAAGAGAGTGAACGGACTCGAGGTCCAGGATGATGGAAGTGCAGCAGCAGCACTCGCCTGTCGGGGTGGGTCCTCTGGACTTTTCGAGACGAGGGGTTGCTGAGGCATCGGCATTTCGAGTTGTCAAGCCCAAGCAACCGGCTTCGTCGCTCGTGCACCAGCAACCGCTACCGCCGGAAACCAACAACAATGAAAATCTTCAAGAAAATCCGCAGATTCCAATCGATAGTGAAGGTAAGATTTGTTTAGTGATTGTTAAAATTATGCAATTATTCGTCACTGTAATTTTTTTAAAACCTTTAAATCAAATAGTTTTGAAAAGACAAGTCGAGTACTTTTATCTTTAATTGCACTTATTTCATCACGCAAAAATAGCACAATGTAATAAAATATATAACAACAGTTAGATGAAATATTGTAAACAAAAAAATTTTAATACATTTTTGTCAGAAATATTGAAAAAGAATTTAAAAAATCAGCTTTTAAAATTAATTATCTATTTTTCATTCAGTTATACTCGCGTACTTATATGGACGGTGCATTATGGCAATTGAAAAGCCAGAAAGAGAGAGAGAGAGAGAGAGAGAGAGTGTGTGTGTGTGTGTGTGCCATCAATTAATCTAACCGAAACCAATCAAGTTCAGAAACGCGGATATATATATACACATTCCCCGCAGAGAAAGCCTATATAGATATCCAAAATAACCAGCAAAATATAGCCGTATCGCGCTCAAGCCTTTGATATTTTCAATCGTTTTGTTGATACCCCCGAACATTCACCCTCTCTCGCGGTGCCTATCACTCGCCTGTCATCATCCTATCTATTATCTGCCTATTACTCCTGTAACGTGGCGTTTACACGTCAACATTTGAGCTTGTACCACGCACACGCGTGTAAATCGCACGCGGATTCGGTGCGGCGCACGCACAAACACAAGCGCGTGCAGGTGCGTACGTAGGGGCCGTCGTTGTGCACAACGTCTGTTCAACAGGTGAGAGGGGATGGCTGGCATTAGACGACTGCCTATACCCTAATATCCCGCTACTAATCGCGGTAACAAGGCTAAACGCAATAATATTGAGCTACAGGCGTCGAGCTAAGCGGTTTAAGCGATAATTGCCAGGTGATAGGCAGCTCGTCGAGAGGGTTGACTGCTCCTCTTCCGACGCACTTAGCACATCCGTTTATTAGGAGGATTACTTAGAAGAATCCTAAAACATCTATTTATTTCTTCACAAATTATTGCTTCCCGTAATTGTATAAAAATTGTACTTCTTACAATATCTCTAACAGAGCGATCTTAAACAGATAGAAAAGATTAATCAGTAAAAATATTACATTCATATCGTATATTTTATTTATTTCATCATGCACAAATCTCTCGTATCAGCATTCAGCTCAAAATGATTTTCTTGATTTTTAAAGATTCTCTGAATATTTTAGATCTACCAATATACGAAGGTTCTTTTCGTTGGTGATCTCTAATGGTAAAGAATCACACTTTATATATTTATGACGGGACGATATCCCGTAGAAACGCAGGGTACGCAGGATAAACGTTGCGTGAACAAACGGTCCGATATCGGTCTGATGCTTTGGCTGGCTAACAAACACGCGTTACCTGCGCATTGTGTATACACACGTATCAATGTTGTTACACTCGACCATCTTATCTCCAACGTCCGCGATATAGGAAAATATGATTTATTTCTGATAATCCTGCGAGAATGAAATAGCCTTTGCGGCATGGAACATTCTAATCTCTTCACGCTATCTCAGATTATCCCAGTCGGTCATATATTGCCCGGATTATGGATTTCTGTCTTCTTTTTTTTGCTGATTCTTAGTATAACTAATCGTCATCGATCGATTGATCTTTCCGATTATTGAAAGTTACGGAGCAAATATTATTCTATAAATATTCATTATAATTAAATACAAACACAATCATGACTCTTTATATTTTTTACATAATTAATTATATCTTATTTTTATTCTCAATTATTTAATATAGAACTGTTATCAATTATTAATATATTTTTTAATTTCACAATAATATATAAAGTTTCTCACTTTTAATACTTTTAATTATATAAAATTATAATTATAACTTATATATATATGTATATTAATTTAAAGATAGACACTTGCAATTTATATATCGTATAATCAAAGTGCAAACATTTATTAATATCAAAATAAACATTTTTGGCATTTATGTTATACTTTGCCTTATATTAATAATCATGTTTATGACTGATAAAAATTTTATTCTATATTTTACTTGTGACTTGAGATTAGATGTTTTATATCTATTCAATAATGAAATTGAGTGACGCATATGATATTGATATAAAGAAGATAGATCTGATTTAGTGCGACTGAATTAAATGATTAGATATGTTACGCTCATTATAAAGCTCGGATTTAATATTTTATCGCACTTATGTAAAAATATCAATATAGATTACAGCGATTATTCGTCGATCGAATCGTAATTTTCCTCAATTGTCGTGATTAATTCCCTATTGATATACTTGTGCATGTACATGTCCAAAGATTTCTTTGTTTTTGTGCTATTGTAATATCAAAAATTGCTAATCTTTTTTGAAATTATTAAATAATAAATACTGTATTTTTTATTTATATTAAAGATATCAACGAATATATTATGACATAGAAATTCTAAAGATGTAATACATTAAATTATCGATTTCGATCAAAATTGACTTATCAACAATTGATTTTATTAATTACAATCAATCCAAATTCAATTAATTAATTGTCCATGAAAAAATGTCTCTTTAAGTAAACAAGTTAAATTTATTACATCGTGTAATAAGTCTTGCAATAAAATTGCGCCAATATTAATTAGATATGCCGCATAGTTCTTCGCATTCCTTGCACCAAGTAAAGGACGAGGATTTAGTTTGTTTGATTAATCATCAGGATGGCGAATTGGCGTGAAGTTAGAACTTTGATGCTCTACCACAACGATCAAAGAAACCAACCAGGATAAATGGCGGACGTTCGGGGATAGGAATGCAGGTTTCGGGAAGAAAGAGAGCGAGTAATGGCCGGGGCAAGGTTGATAAATAGAGGAGGGTTTCTCCTCCTTTCTAATAAAGACGCTCTTGTCGAGGGGTTGATCTTTCCTACGAGCTAGGAATACTAAATTTGTCAAGACTTGAGACGTTGCTGCAACGTGGTGGTTGGCAAAGTAACGATGCATAAACGATCGGGAAAAATACGCGATCGTTTCGCCGTTTGAATCACCATTTTCTCGGAGATTTCGCGTACCGTTGTCTCCCTCCCTATCTCTCTCTCTCTCTCTTTCTCTCAGATATCCAACTACAATAAATCTAGATACTAGTCAACAAATATTCGATGCTGCTTTTGTAACATTTAAATAAACTTTTTACCTTAATACAAGAAAAAGCAAGAATTTATTCTTTTAACTTTTAAAGTATATATAATAGAAATAATGTTTCATCTGTTTCTACTTTTAAAAATATAAATTAATTTTATTAATTCTTTACTTATTGTAATTATATTAATAATATCATAGCATTATTTCTTTCAGGAGGATGCAATGTTCGTTTAATGTTCCCAAGACTGTGGGCACCTTTCGGAAATGCTACGGAGATTACGAATCTGCCACCTTTACCAAAAAGTCACTCAGGTAAGTGTTCTATAACAATAATGTACACACTTTTTCAACGAATTTGTGTGTTTAATCGAATTAAATTGCGATACAGTAAACAAATCTTTTGAATTTAAGTGCATCTCTGCATTCTTAATTTTTGATACTTGATGTCAGAGAAAAGAGAAAGAATAAGAGAAAAAAAGGTGTATTTTTTCCGTGAAATTACGCACACAACGTTATATGCTAATAATAAAATTTATTTTATATCTTACGTTGAAAAAGAATGAGTTTAATTGCAATCAGCACACGAAAAAATCTCAGTTAGCTCAGCTCAATATTTTAATCGAATATATGTATTAGGTATTTTACTTTTCAAATTGTATACGCGATCAAGTTGTCGATGGATAAACTATAAAAAATTAAAACACTAGCGCATTATATAAAATATTATATTATATATTAAAAAATATTTCTACAATTAAAATATATCTATTTTCTATCTATTTTATATTATATTTAATTTGTTATTATCACAAAATATTCAATGCCCCATAAAACAAATTTATACACAATATTCCATTCTATTTGACTTCTTAAATTAATTATAAATATATAAACGATTATTTTTCATTACTTTAATTCTGCAGTCCGTTTATTGTCGTGTGTTCTGCTTAATCTCAATAATGAAATTATATAATCTCAATAAAAAACTAATTATAATATGTAAAATAGATTACTATAAAAAAAGATAAAAAGAAGCAATTAATTTTACAAGTAAAAAATAATAAATAAGTTATAAATTGTACTTTTTTAATCTCCTTCTACAGTCACTCGATTTTTTGTCTTTTTATCATTTTCTTTCTCCTTTTCTGTTCATCTTACTTTCATGACATTCACATGACACTCACTCACGAAAACATGGTTAATTATGATTGCGCGCGCAATAAAAGCAGAATATAGCAACCGCATGATACTCTTAATGTTGATTACATACGGCACAAATTTTATTACGATGAAAGAATAAATGAACGAATTAAATTATATAAAATTCTGCAGACTGCAATATCTAAACGTACATCCTTTCCCTGACTACGCGCACGGTAGATATCAATTCGATAAATCACGTCAAATATCAAAACAAATTGTGCGAAATAAATTAAAATTATAATCATCATAATTATACAGTTAATACATATATTATGTCTTTCCATTATTTGATTCTATAATTTATGTATTATTTCATTTTAATTCAAAATGACGATTGCATATTATACTTAAACAGATAAAAAATTTAACAAGATATATTCTAATTAATAATTTGATATACATATATTAAAGATTATATGCTATATATTTATTATTTCTGCATTAAAAATTATTATATACTTGCTAATTTTTTTTTTTTCATTGCTCATAATTTTTTTCGGTGGGATGACATTATGGATTGAAAGTTACTATCATTTCTATACATCTTTCATTCACCGTTGCTCATTAATCCTCTCCGAAAGGTGCAGACGCGCGGGTGTAGCGCCGACCTTTCGCCCCGATGGCTTCCTCCTCAGCCCGGATGACGGCGAGTTTTTATTTGCCGATCATTAAGAACGACTGGTCATTGTCGACACGATTGGGATAAATGGTAGCACGCGTCATACCCGCGAACGGACATGGGCCTTTCTGACTCCTACCGGCCCAATTGGAGCGGATTCGAGCCGTCGGCTTCTTTGTACTCGTACCTACCCTAAATTAGTAACGTCTTGTCATGTTAAACACCCGTGCATAACTATCTTCCTACTTCTCCTGCGCGCCCGCGCGTGCACGTGGTCATTCATTTGCCTCATTCATTCTGGGACATGATAAGATCGGCCGCGATACTTTTATCGTCGCATTTCCACTGCTTGGTCGCGAAGATTTGCGTCGCGCAAACATGCGGTGCTCGTTGAGCAACATTGTACTGTATTATTATTTATATCGATTATCACTGTTATCTTCACATTGTAAAAGATGCAGAACATTATCAGATCGCAAAGTTATTTGAAAACGGAAACAAACTCTGTGATTTATCATTATTGGAGTATCGCGATGATAAATTTGCAATCTCTTCAAGTCAATTCAACAATCTTGAATTGACTTGACAGATTTTTATATTTCCAAACAAATATATTTATATTATTATTCTATTTTTATTTTTTATTCAAAGTTCTAAAGTAAACGAAACAAGTAGCAAAACTTGTGAATGTATACAATAAAATAAAAAACAAGAATAAAATAAAATAAAAATAAATTAAAATGAAACACATTAAAAATTATAATAATTAAATAAAAAAATATATACTCGTGTTTATACTTAATTCAATCTTTGTGTCTAAAAAATCTTATTTTATTTTCATTTAATTTACGTTTAACAGAGTTAAAATACATACATATTTTTCATAGATACACCCTGATATCGCTTTCGTGGTATCAAGGTTTAATTTTTAATAGCTCATAACGCGCGTGGTTGGATGAAAAATCTGTTTTTGAAAACCCACATCATCCTGTCACTCGTCTCTATTGACGCCGATTCAACGGCAAAGATCACGCGTATTTCTTTCCATGAACCAGTAGCACGGAAGGGGTTTACAGTGTGTAACGGCTTTAATAGCGGCAGATCGCTACGCAGTAAACGACTGACGGACGACAGAAGATTAAAGTTGGCCGTTAACTCGATCTAATTGTCCCCCCGGCTTGGCCTTCCTTTATTAATCCACGTCCGTAACCATCTTCGGCATCGTCGTCATCCCCTTGTCACCTTGAATCGACCTACCGATTTGCCCGAAAAGATTTTTATAAATTTAATATATCCCCATCAAAAACGAATTTACTCGTAAAAATATTAATCAAGAATGTGAACAAAAATTTTATTTTTTATGTATATTTTTTATAATTATATTATGTTCTAAAAATTTGTTCTTAATATTAAACATTGGAACAATTTACAATTGCATTATACAAATGCCCTATAATTTACAATTTTTATCATATTTCTCTTGTATTTATAATAAATTATTATAATACTACAAATAATATTAGAAAATAAAATAAAATAATTTTATTTGATAATTTATGTTTCGTTTTCAAATTATTTTATTTTAGACACAAAAACTTAATCACGTAATATTTAATAAATAACAAATTGACGACAAGTTCCCACATTGACAATTCTTTATGTGATAGAAATAGCGTGAAAACTTTGTCCCATAAGCAACTTTGCGCAAACATGATGAACTACGTCGGTGCCATGACAAAAACGATTCTGCAGTCGATTCAAAAAGTTTCATTCATCGTGTTGCGCCTGCAAACGACTACGGACCACGTGAGATGCATTTCAATGCAACGTCAAATGCACGTGTGCATACACACGCCACAAACACGCAGATCTCGTCAAACACAGACTAAAGTCTTAACCCATCTGCTGGACGGTCGCAAGTCGTTTTTCTTGCCAGTTTGCACCACTACTTTTTAGCGCATTCCTGTTACATCCAGACGCAGCATTTGCGTAAGCAGTTCTTTCTATCACGCTACGAATCACATCTGTTTGGACTCTTCCTCCTTCTTTTTCCTTTATTTTTGTCTCAATTTTGCTTTTATCTTTCTTACAATGATGCGAAATGAAGTGACAAAATTATTCTCGCAATTGTAAATGAAAGTTTAATTATAAAAAACAATCGGTAAAATTAATATATTTATTAACTTTCTCTTTCTCTACTATCACAATAATAAAATTAAAAATAAAAGTTTTGCGCGATATATTTCGTATATATTTTGTCAGCAAATGTGTCTTCAGTGCACAGATTCTGTTTTAATCAAGCAGATTTGAAAAAAAAAAATTTAAGGTGTTGATTTTAAAATAGCCAATCAATTCAATCATGTTAGACTAAAACAAGATGCGCGTAATTATATAGCAATTATATGCAAATTCTAATTTTAAATGTACATTATTATAAAGAAATGTCAGATGTAACATTCGTATAATTTAATTAGCTTCTAGCGTCTTCTTTCGTGTTTTTGATCGATGTAATAAAGAACTTATCTATCTCCTCGGACAAATCCCCGCAGGCGCAAGGCGCATTTCTCATTACATTAGGCCACTCTGACTCGAGTCGTATTTTGATTCGATTGCAAAGCCACCATGAGACACGATAATAATCGACCCCAACGACGGGGCTCGCGTACAGCTTTAAATGCGATTAACCGACACCGGTGCATCATACGAGCCGGCACGTGACCGCGTGTCGCGCGTACGGATTATAAATATAATATACCGGTGGTGTGTTATAGAGAGACGCACAATATATGAGTGATCCAACGTCGAAATTATCGCGCACCAGGAGGGGTCGTGAAATACTCCCCGAGTCTGTCCTTCCTTCTCGTAATATACGCGTGTCCGATTTCCAATCCACCCGACACCGTAAATCACGACGATCTAAGCGAATCGTGATTATTAAAAATGTCACACAAATAGTTTCTGAACATAACTCGACTTCAATCGACTTGCGTCGATTCGTGAATTTTTTAAATGATTTTATTCATCTTGCAAATTGCATTTCCGGGTAGATATCAAAATTTATTACAACTATTCAATTTACAAATGCGAACAATGATTCTTTTTTTAAGATATTTGTAATACAGATATAGATGGTTATCCCAAATGATGCAAATAATAAATGAGTTGCATATTCTCTTTCTGTATTCTGCTATATAATCATATCTTAGACTCCGAATCTAGATATCTCCCAAATTTCTCGTCACATTTATGTCAGGATACACAGATAACAGGAAACAATAAAATAAATACATTCTGCGTACTTAATCTAACAAATACATATCAAAATTGATGATTGAATCATGTTTCGTTTGAAACGGTCGACAGATAAAATGACGCGACATACAAATCAAAGCTACGTCGGAAATCATCGATTCGATAATTAGAGAGTACAGTAAATTCCGATTGACACGCGATACCGAAATTGCGATACTTGATGCAATTTGCAACTGTCAGCTCGTACATGTGCTAATCGTAAAAAGATTAATTTAATATTTCAATAATAATAAAAGCTTCTCATTATAAATTAACCAGTTATGGGTTAGAACTATAATTATATATTATCTCTAGTGACATATTATCTAGTAGACACTCACATTAATAATTGCTAAATAGAAATGTCAAAATTTCGAGATATTCTACGACCATTACGCCACAAAAGATTAATTAAATTAAAAATGTTTTTTAAATTAAAAAAAATTTAAATTTTAACGTGTGTGTGTGTGTGTGTGTGTGTATGTGCTTTTCACTGCCATTTATAACGCAAATATATTTTTATTAAAGGATTAATCACGACTTATGACACTACGTCGTCGTATGAAAAATTCCAAGAGGGCACGGGAAAGATTTGATTAAGGACACTGCTTCACGTAACGTCGCGGAAATACATTTCGCTCTCGGCACCACACTATTCGGTTCTCTCCTTGCGATGTCTCGTTAGCGCAATATGAGACCCTGTCATGACCTCTCTCGTGCCCTGCTCGTCCCTTAAACACCCTCACGCTCCGCACACTATAGGAAAAAGAGGTCCGGTACGTGACTTAAATCTTATTCCAGCCGGATCCTTCTGCCAGAAGAAACTGTACTAACTCGCGGCTTTCCTTTTTCGGATTCCCTGCATCTAGCGTCCCACATGTACCTCATACGTGACGTAGTCGCCAGTTCGTCCAGTCATTGGCCATCTTGGTCTCGTGACTAGTGTATGAACTCTGGTTTATCGATTACGGAATGTCTATATCTGTTGAAAGGTGCGAAAAATCCATGAACGCGATATGATCGCCGATTTGTTTTTGCACGATTAAACTTAATATTATTTTTCTCGCAACTCGTACAAATGAATCATATTTGAATTGAATTGATTACAGAACGATTATCGTTCGGAGTGGGTCGTCTGGTGGGTTCTCCAGCGACGAGGAGTCCCTCGCCGTCGCAATCTCCCTGTCCGGATTCACCTCCGCCCGAGCATCGGGACGCCGAGATGGACGTCGACGTCGGTGAGGAGGAGGTCGACGTGGACGTCGAGGAGGTCGGCGACGAAGACGACCACGAAGGTACCTCGAGTCCGCCGCGATCGTCATCCACTCCCTCGCCATCGCCTATCAGCGTCGCGACGTCGCCCGTCTCGCATCCGCCGAAGAAATCCGGCGACAGTTTCAGCGTGTCGGCTCTCCTGAGGCCAGATCCACCATCCGCTCACCTGCAGAACGCGTCTCCGCATCGGGAAACCGCTTCCATCGGCGCACATCCGCCACCACCCGGCTCGTCTATCCTCTATCCGCCGTTGCATCTTCAGGGCGGCCTCTTGCCGCCTCATCCTCACCATCCCCTCTCGTATCTGCATCCTCAACTGTTGCCGCATCATCTTCTGCCGCCGCACCTGCACCCGCTTCTACGTGGCGTTCATCCGGGTCACCCAGGACTGCACTCGACTCACACGGCGCACGGTCTGCACCATCCCCATCCGCTCGGCGATGTCTACAGCTGCGTCAAGTGTGACAAGATGTTCAGCACGCCGCATGGGCTCGAGGTATGTACTGTCTGTTTTTTTTCTACCATATACTCTCAAGATTGCACCACACTTGTTTTGATTTCTTTCTGATTCGCTATCCTCGATGACGTTCGTTCGCGTATCTTCGACGACTTCATATTGTCGCGATAAGAATTATTTTTATTTCTTTTTCACATTTACTCACAATATATTTTTCCATAAAAAAATATTTTACATATATTATTTTAAATATAGGAAATTTGGTTTTTTTTTTTTTATAGAATTCTGTGATTTTTTTTATATATAACTTTTTGTATATGTTATAAAATTTTTATAAAGACATGAATTTCTGCGTAGGTACATGCGAGGCGGTCGCACAACGGTAAACGGCCATTTGCCTGCGAGTTGTGCAACAAAACCTTCGGCCACGAGATCAGTCTGACGCAGCACAGAGCCGTGCACTCGGCGGAAAAGGTGTTCGAGTGCAAGCAATGCGGTAAAGCCTTCAAGAGGTCCAGCACGCTCAGCACTCACCTTCTAATCCACTCGGACACGAGACCGTATCCCTGCCAGTTCTGCGGCAAGCGATTTCATCAGAAGAGCGACATGAAGAAGCACACCTACATACACACCGGTAAGTAAGCTACGCTTCCATGGTTTTGAAAAAGAGCGAAGGATTTAAAAAGATTTATTTCTCCCGATTAATAATATTTATTTTGTGCAACTAGAAAATATTTAGTAGACGCAAAATTAATATTACGGTTATTAAATAATATACGTATATCAAACGAGGAAATAAATATTATATATTATTTCTATTATCGAAATTAAAAATAATCATTAATAATTTTCATAAACGATTCCAACTCAAGTAAAGTATCTACTATAGATTTCTAATAAAAGTTTATCTCTATCAGTTGCACACAGATCTGATTAGAAATTAAACCTTTAAATATTACGTCGATATTCTTACACTTTGCTCTATTTAATCGAATGGAAAATGCTAAAATTACTCGGATTGAATTTGCCTGGTACGCAATTATTTCATATCTGAACGGTTCGCCAACTTTCGGACGTTATACGAAAATCGCGCTCGTGATTCCGATGGGTATCGTTATCGAAGGAACGTGAGGGATCAATTAGTCCGGCAAGTTGGTGCGATAAATAATGCAGTCAACCGTCTGGACCGAGTCCTTGCGAGAGGATCGAGTTGAATACGGCACATGTGGCCAATGCGTTTCAGGGATGTCGAGTCCCACATTGTGAGTTTCGCTCGGTAATAATCGTAATGTCTTTCGGGGTGCTTCCCTATCCCCTGTTTCTCTCCTGTATTTAGCCTTCTCGTCCTTTGCTCCCGCGATTTGGGGTGGTATCATGGCCTTCCCAATCTTGGAATGGAACATCGCTGTGACGCAACGTGGAGTCTGTGCAAGACACACGAGCGGATAATCTTGTCTCATGAAGTGAACATTTCGACTACTGATTGTCTCTAGACTATCTTGTTTCTATCTTTCCGATTGAAAAATTAAAGTAATTCGAATTTATTATTCATTGAAACATCTGATAAAATTCTTAAAGAATTACTTTTATTTGAGAATTAAATATAAATTATTATTTATAAATAATTTATTTATATAAATCTTATTACAAGAATTTTGTTAAATTGCCATTTGCAATCTGAAGAGCAACTTTATTTTTACGCCTTTCTAGTGATTTAGATTTATATTTAATATTACAGAGCCGTAATTTATTCTTAGTTGTTTATTTTTATTTATTATTAATGCGGCAGGCATAATTCTCGTCGGCAATCTTTATCTTTCGTTTTTGTATCTGTGCGATGCGTGTTTATCTTCGACGGCACGTATCAATGTCGAACGCGTCAAAGTTCTATATATGTGCGATTGAGAAGTTCGGGGCAAAAAAGTCGAGGAACTCGCGAAGCGATGGTGGCGGCAGGACACTTGACACTTCGGTGTCTCCTGATGGAGCGAAGTCTTGAAGGAGCAGGTTTCTCGAGGGTAGAGAGCGACGAAGGAGAGAGAGAGAGAGTAGGCGCCTGCTGGAGGGTTCTAGTTGAGGCTCTGGGTTTTGTATCGTCTCCATGGCAACCCCTCCCGATGTCTTATCAAATTATCACCTTGTCCTCCCTCGCGCCACTTCATCCTGCCGTCACTCCGAGGTCCTCCGCCCCCGATGTTCGTTCTACGGTCCCCCCAAAACAGCCAGGAGGAATGGCCGGCAACGTAACAGGATATATACAAAGCGATGGTCACTTTCGCGGACTTTTCTAACAACCGATGGGGACCAGCCGTAGACTTCCTTGTGTTTCACGCACTTATGTCCATCTACACGCACTGTTGCGCGGAGGGTCGCCATGAAACATTTAATTTATTATTCAGGAGTATGAAAAATTTAGAAGCGCCACGAGAGCGCCGACCAATGATGTTCATCGCAATTGTCTGTTCGCGGCAATTGTGCCATAAAACGAAGACGAGTGAAAGAACCTTTCCGAATACTTCTTTTTATAGGAATTTTCAATTTTCGAGAAACAATCTCTTTTTTTTTTTTACGAGGAATGTAGAAAGTGGCTGTATGTATATCTTAAACATTTTTTTTATTTAATGAAAACGTTTTTCGATACGTAATTTGTAAATCCAAAATTAAATTTCCATCGCGTTTTTGTACGACAATTTCGATGATTATAATATTTTTGAGATGTAAATCTATTCCTTCGATTCTTTAAAAACCACATACCTCTGTATACGCTCGCTAGATCGATTGGACTGGTTTTACCCTTGGCGCGATATCCCTTTCTCTTCCTCTTTTTTTTTTTTTTATTATGCGCACGAACAAATCTCGTTGCTCCCACGACCTCGAACGACGGCCGAGTCGGCTGCGTGCGTACGTGCGCCAAGGGTGTTCTGGGACTTTGTTGCTAATGATAATCAGGTCTTTCTCTCTCTTTCCAATCCTCCCTTCGACCGACTGCCTACGTACCCCACGTACCGAGCACAGGCCATGTGCAATAAGGGTGCGGCACCGTCGGATTCCCGGGGAAAACGGCGTGGCGTAACGTAAAATCATTATTAGGTAGGTAGGTAGGTAGGTGGTTGCTGGTGCACACGAGGGGTGGAAAGAGAAACGGGTGGGTTCGGGCGAGCGGGGTGGTTCGAAGCGCCGCCACCGCTCACGGGGGTTGAGAATAAGAGCTCTGCAAATATTGTTCGTGCGCGAGCCGGCAACCCGGAATAGGCTACGAGGGGTCGGAGCGTTACTTCGCGTTACCTTCGCAGTTAGGCGAACGTTTTCGGGGTCGGCGATGGAACGCAACGAAAGGGGGATGGGGGCGAGGGGGGGCGCGACGAGTCAAGTGCACGATGGTTGCAAGGGGTTGACGAGCGAAGTGACAGACTGCCAAGTGGTCACGAGTCTCTTCCATGAGAAAACACAGGCAGAATGTCTTTGAGAGGGGCGGCGGAATATTTTCGAAGCTTTATGGGTTTTGATGGGTGATCAATGATTTCATGCGACATACTGCCCGTTCTGATAAATCGATAGTAGTAATTGTTCGAATGTATATTATGTTCAAATTGATAGAGCTGCTGTCAAAATTTTCATATATTTTTTCAAAACAGTTTGATATATTCGTTCTTTCTTGATAAAAATGTTAATTATATATAGATAATTGTTTGTATAAAAAATTGATTTAATTAGTCGGCAAACTATGGATTCTTTTCAACAGTACGACTGTATCTTTCTCAGTATTTTGAGTTAAAAATAAAACCGCCGATTCCCGGATTTGTCTCGACGCCGACATTATGTGATTATAGAGGAACACATTATCGATCAAAATCATCGTCCTTCTGTCATCAGAATGATCAACTTGCAGTGTGTACGCGACCTTATCTACACACGCGTGATCGAGCCCTTTATGTTTTCATAATAAACACAACCTGTCCGCGTTGTTGGTGCAAAGTAAAGTCGATGGATCGAAGCAAAGAGAGGGATGAGTGCATTCTGTGTACTTTTCGATCTTTTCATCGAATGTTTCTATTTCGGTTGAATGTTCAGTGACGTTTGAGACGTCTGTCGCGAATGGGCAATTTTTTTCACATCATAGGTTGGTGAAATCATAGTTCTCATGGTTTTTTCTCATCGCGATGCAATTATTTATATGTTATAGTATTTATTTAGACATTGAGAATTTTATGCAAAAAATTTAAAATAATCTGAAAAATTATTTTGCAGTATAAAAATACGATAGAACATAAATGTTTTTCATAAAATTGGAACAGATAATAAACAAATTGTATAATTAAGCGTTTATATATTTTATATAAATATAATGTAGAAAAATATAATATTTGTCATATACATCGAACAATATCCATATACACGTTAACGCGAAGAAAATTAAAGCTTTACGAGAATCCGTAATATGATATCCATTAAAACACTCGCAATAACTGGAACGATTAATTGGAATCGTCGAGGTCATCCATTACTTTATGCTATGACGTTGGTTACGCGTAAATATAATTGCAACAAAGCTCTGGCATTTGTCATTTATAAACTGGACTACTAGTTATCATGGTCAATGATCTCGAATTTTCTTCTTCTTATTATCTCATGTCATTGTGTTAAATTTTCTGCGTGATTATTTATGCAAGATTCGATGACTTTGGAATAAAAGCATATAAACTTGGCAACAAACATTATGTCATTTTATTATTATTATAAACTCTGATTCTTTCCGAGGAAGAGAAATTGTCTCGATATACAATTACGTACAATTTTGCTAAATGTCTACGTGATTATTTATGCAAGACTCTCAATGCCTCGGGCAGAAAAACACTCGGCAAATATTGCTAATGCATTAATATAGCCGCGTAATTTTCAATAAATACGCACGCGTATCGCGTTCGTAATGCGATTAATAATTACCCCAGGCACGCCGTCGTCGCCCCTCTCGAATTATGAATTCAGCCGCGACGTGTACGCGGATACCTGGTCGAACGCGTTTCCCTCGGGGTCGCCTCGAGGGTGCGGTTATCGTATACTCGCGGAGATACAACCTGTACCGTCACCTTTGCGGCCGCGTTCATATAGTGTCTACTCCATTCTCGGCTACGACATATCCTTCTCTCTCTCTATCTGTCTCTCCTTTCCAGACTGGGGCTATTAGAGGTTTCCGGCTGACTTGGCGCCCCAAGCATCGGGGCGCCGCAACATCCCTCTAAGCTGTTTAAACTTCGCGACATGGTCGGAGGGCCGTCTGCCTCCGCCTCTCAGCCCCTTTGTGCGAGGGACCAGCCTCCCTCTCTCTCTCTCTCTCTGCCTCGTCTTTACGGCTCGTTAGCGACGACGTCCCCGCATATCGAACCGCACGCGGTAAAAAGCGTATTTACACGGCACGTAGGATTGGCACGCCGATCGCGCGATTGTATCGTTGTTTGCGATTCTTAAAGGATGTCTTCCGGATTGGGGCGCGGGTTAATTGGATGCTATTATTTAGGGTAGTTTCGAGCCTCTTATCGTTAGGCGTGGTCACTTTTCTTGATTCGAAGGGACAGAGCACACACATATTTTAAATTAAAACGCTAGGAAAATTTATAGAGCACTCAATCAAGATCC